TTTAATGAATATGCATATCAATTAAATAAATATTATTCGAATAGAATAAAAACAGAAAAAAATTTATCATCATTACTTTTTTATGATAGTCGAACATTTTTACAAATAAATTCAAATATTCAACAAGAATCATATCTTAAAGATTCAAAATCTTTATTTGGTAAACTTACATCTGATTTAGATTTTAAAAAAGATTTTATTGATTTAAAAAAATTTCAATTTTTCAAAGATAATCTTTCATATCCATGTGTTATTATTGGACCTGGTTCTTCATATGTTAATGAAAATTCACCATTAATTTATATTGATTTAGCTAAAAATGAACTTTATTATCGTATTGCAACACAAACATCATTTTCTTATTTAAAACCAACACAAAGATTATTATCTGATAATAATGAATTAACACCACCTATGTATGAACAGAAATGTCTTTATTTTCTTGATTATCCAGTTTTTAATAAACTTAAACAAGAACTTTTACCTCGTATAAATTATTTTATTGATGGTCAACGACCAAATTGTCCAACATGGATAGCCGGTGATACATTTCGTCAAGCACTTGTTCATATAGCTAATCAACCAATTCGTGTACGACCTTGGTTTGAACCAGCTCCATGGGGTGGCCAATGGTTAAAAACAGTTTGTACAAATATTTCAAAACATTCAAAAAATTATGCATGGTCATTTGAAATGATAACATCGGAAAATGGTTTGCTTTTATCAGATGTAAATAATCATCTTATTGAACTCTCTTGGAATATTTTTTATGGTTCACAAGTTGATAAAATATTAGGAAACGAAAATCATCGTCGAATATTTAGTGGTTCAAATGATTTTCCAATACGATTTAATTTTCTTGATACTATAGATGGTGGAAATTTATCTATACAATGTAATCCTAGTCTTGAATACGTACGTACAAATTTTGGAGAAAAAATTACACAAGATGAAGCATATTATATAATTGAAACAAAACAACATTGGAAAAAAGAATTGAAAAATGATATAACATTTTCATCATATGTTTATCTTGGTTTTCATGAAAATGTTGATCGTGACGAATTTCATCAAGCATTAATTACAAGTGATAAAGAAAAACAAGATTTAAATGTTGAAAAATATATTCAATGTATTCCAGCAAATATTCATGATTTCTTTTTAATACCAAATGAAACTATTCATGCATCTGGTCGTAATCAAGTTGTACTTGAAATTTCAGCTACACCTCATATTTATACATTTAAATTATATGATTGGTTAAGATTAGGTCTTGATGGTCGTCCACGTCTTTTAAATATTGAACATGGTATAAAAAATTTAAAATTTGATCGTCGTGGTGAACAACTTCGTTGTCAACCAATATCTCTTGAAATTGAACAAGATAAATATGAAGAACAACATTTACCAACACATAATTTACATTTCTATGATGTTAAACGTCTTATTATTGAACCAAATGAAAATATCGAAATAATACGATCAACTGAAAATCGTTTTCATTTATGTATGTTAGTACAAGGTGATGCTATTGAAATACAATTTAATTCAAATGATAATAATCAACATAAACAAATACAACAATATAATTATATAGAAACATTTTTAATTCCAGCATCAATTAATGAATATCGTCTAAGACCAATAATTAAAAATAAGCATAATGAAAAGCAATCACATAAATTTATTTTACTTACAGCTTTTCTTAAATGGGATTGTGAAAAATTGTTTGTATAAATATTGTAAAAAAAAAAAAAGAAAAGAAAACAGGTGTTTAATTTGTGAAATAATAAATATAAGCTGCTTATATAAAATAGCTTCTTTTTTTGGAACATAGAACATATGTTTTAATTGATATTTATGATAAAATTGATTTTTCTTTTGTATCTAGACTTTCAATAACTTTTGCAGTTACTACTTTGAAACTATAGTAAAGTTCATAGTTCTCATATTTAGAACTCTTCCATAGAAATTTATTAACGAGTTCATATTAACTATTTAATTACTTGACCAATTTTATCTCGCTTTTTATTGATATCTCAAATAGAAACTATTTATTCATAGCTGTAAATCATTTCTAAAACTGTTAAAATCGAATTCTCTATTTGAACACTGGTATCGACATTGTATATTAAAATAGATTGAAATTATTATTGAATAGAGTCGTTGATATGCATTCCAAAAATGAAATTGGTTCAATTCTGATAAAATTCCGAACTAATTTCCTCTCCGTCAGTGATATTGGAATACGAAAATGGACAATGATCTATATGAAAAGTACAATGCAGTGAACAAAAAACAATTTCAAGAAATGAAAACCTTGTTTTTATTGAACACAACACAATCCATGAATGTCTTTCGTTGAAAAAAGATCTACTTTGTAATATCATTATTAACGTCTATTGCTTGAAATTAGTTTTTATAAAATAAAATGGCACGAGTATAAGAAATGTATGAAATTATATGTGAGATTAGTAGATAACAAATATTCATTCAGGAAAAATATTCAACAAATAATTCGTCATTTATATTGAAACATAATAATTCTAGTGGAAATTATGATTTTTTCATATCGAAAAACAAAATAATCTTTCATATGTGAATATAAAATATGAAGAAAATTAAAGTCAATTACTTGTGGAAATTCTCACAGCGATATGTTTTCTGTTGTAGTTATCATGCACGAGTAAGTTTTACATTAATCTGTATCAAGTATGCACAGAAAAGAATAAGTTATTATTTTTAATGTATAAATTAGAAAAGACAAGTTATCACTTGTTCGAGAAACCAAATAGATACATTTTTCGTCTGTCATCATATTATTTAATATCAAGTGAGAAAGAGGTATGATTTTATTTTTATTTAATCGATTTGATACATATAGTTATAAAGAATGGGTGCATATAATCACATGATTACATTTGTCACGTACGAAGAAATGACAATGTTTACTATTTCTATAAAGACCTGTCGAAAGCTGAAGTTTGAACCGTCAATTGTCATTATCATCAATATTTGTTTAAAAAGTAAATGATTGTTTTATCAATCAGCTCAGATTTGTTTGTTTTGCCATAAATATATCAAATGACATTTATTATCGAATTGTTTCTACTAAAGTTCAATGCTTCAGAACAGTATTGTTCGGATATAGTTTTCTTTTTGCTATTCCAAGATAAATCTATGGCAATTAGTTAATTATTAAATTTTAAAGTAAAACAAACGTGGTTTATACCCCAAGGCAAACAAATCATGGAAACTTGGACATATTTCATGTGTAAAACAAAACGATTTCTGTTTTTTTGCTTCAATTGACAAAGAAGAATACTTGTTCATACAGAAGGCTACAATCATCAGATGGTTTCTTTCTTTCACCTGTGAAATGGTTCATACTAGTTATTTTTTCTTGTTACTAACTTTAATCCTATATATTTGTTATTAAACAAACTAAAGCTTACACATTGTATTGGTGCCAAATGTAATCATTATAATGACTGTGTAGATGATCTTACTTGTAGTTGATATTGTCCAATTCATCGATGCAGAACAGGGATCTCAATGAACTTGGTCGAAGAAAGTCGACTCAGGCCATGGATCACTTATCTAATTGCATTGGATACACGTTTAACACATAAATGAGCAAACATATTTCGAGTACTAGTAGTTGATGTATAAATAAATGTTCGACAACGTATTTGACACCTTCAAAATCTTTAATTCTCTCGACTTCACCGGTATTTCCTGATTTTTCAGTTGGAAAACTAAAGACTTTACAGCATAAAGATATATTTGCTTTTTCATTTTTAATACTAGCATATGTCAATGGTCGTTGTTTCAAAAGAAATTTAATCCATCCGGATGTATACTGTTTGGTATGTGCTGATAAAGATTGTCATAAGGACTAATTTGTATTCGATAGAGGTGATTTTTTTAGGTAAAAAAATTGCTGTGAAAGGGTTACATTGATTAACCTTTCAAAAATTCAATAGTATGTCTTTGGTGAAACTTTTGCGTGTGTTGAAATTTTCAACGCCACCAATTGTTTCATTACATATAAAGCACATTCCTTTTAACGAATAGCCTGTAGTAGCAAAGTAGTTAGTATGTAGATGTGTCTTACTTATGTGGTATTTGTCAATGAGCATGTCATAAATCTCATGTCTAACGAAACCGTTGTGTCTTCTTTCTTATCATTACAATATGAAATGCTTCAATCGGAAATAACAAAATGCTTATTATAAATACATAATTCATAGTCCAATCGCTGCTTATTCATTTGTGTTACAGTAGTTCGTTGCACAACTACTAATGGTAACAAGCATATGATCTTTATGTCATTTGGTAGGAATGGTTGAATAGACTATTATAAATAAATGTAACGAGATGATCAAGTTGAATAGATAAATTAGATAGTACAGTCTAGTCCGCTGTACATTGACTAAAACAGTTAACATGGCTGTTGATAGTATCTCTATCATATTAGTCGATAGATCCATCAATTACACAAATTGCATATTCTGTCCATTGATTTCTATCTAGATTGATTAATTAAGATTCATTTTCATCGATTTCTTTTAATACTCTTTTTGTTGATAACTGATGCATTACACGAACTATGAACATATTTTAGTTTATAGCCTCCTCATACATTTTCTATTTCAATATTGATAATCAACGCATATTTCACTGATATTATTAACAATCGAAATAAGATAATGATGATTTATTTCATTCTGATTATCGAATTTTCTTCGTAATTCAAATATAAAATTGAAGTGTGATGTATTATGTTTAGGAAAGACGGACTTATATTGACTATTATATATTATTCATCCATTTTATATTACGAGTTAAAGAAAATTCTAGAATCAATTCAAGCAAAAAAAAATCTGTTTTCTTTATCTATTTGTTGTCTTTATTTTAAACTTCTTTTCTTTTCTTTTCATAATGATGTTAATAATATCAAACAAATCACATATTCTAAAACAAAAACAACTGAAAATTTATTTTTTTCCGGTTGTTGTTGTTGTTGTTGTTGTACTAGTAGCCGATTTAGTTGATTTTTTTGATGGATGTGTACGTTTTGGACGTTTCTTTATTGGTTTTACTGCTGTTTCTCCAGTAAAATAAGTTGTAATATTTTTCAATACTGATGAAAGTGACCATGTTGATTTTTTTGGTTCTGTTTGACGAGCAGGTCCACGTATAACTACTTTATTTGTTGAACCTTCAACACCAGCTAATTTTGCTTTTCGTGATTTAAGTAAATTTTTACGTGCAACATGATTATGATGTTTGGTAAACTTTAAATTACGAACATATTTTGGATCAACCTAAAATTTAAAAAAAAACATAAATATGAAATGTTTTTTGTTTTGTTTTACTGTTTTACATACTCCAGTTAATGATGGAAATCGTTGTGATTTTGGTCGTTTAATTCCATTACGATGATCCTTTCGATCTAATTAAGAATATAAATAAAAGAATTTATTATGAATTTTAAAAATATATATGCATACTTTGATTATGATTGGTATGATTTTTGCTTTTGGCCATTGTTTGTTTCTGTTAATATAGAAGATGAAATATCTGAAATAAAAATTAGTAAGTGCTTTAATAGGATCACTTTGCTAAATTAATTCATTATTAACTGATTTTGAGAAAAATATCTTCTATCTAATTATAAAAAAAAAAGAAATTTGTTCTGTTTTACTCATATCATTTGGTGCTACTTGTCTTATTATTATTAGAATTTAATGTATTTTGCATTTCATTTAATAAATCATATAGTGTAGTTTGAAGTCATATACGATATTGTTCAAGAATCAAGAATTTTAAAAATAGCTAAAAGTAAAGTAGGATTTGTGTGTTTTACTTGGCCGATATTTGCAATGTTTAAATAGTAGAGAACATTTTCTAAGATATGTTCAAGAAATAATTAAGACGAAAAGAAGAAATTGACTAGTAGAAATTTTGAAAAAATAATGTATATCAAACATTTCAGCCATAGTCGATGATATGCTTATAAATTTTTCTTTTTTTTATTTGAAAACAACGGATCAAAAAGAATATGGATGTCAGAGAAATCTTTGTTGGATAATATGATTGGTTTCAATGAGATGTTTTTTCAATATTTATATGGTGGAACGTCATAATGTTTATGAACTGCTGACATCTATTGAGAACTGTTTCTTTTTCGATAGAGATGAAGCAAGAATTATATATTTAGATGGTATTATCAAAATAATATTTCGCGCGAATATTCAGCTGAATTTTTGTTGAAAAAAAGAAAAGAATCAATGAGATACAAGATATTATTGACCAGAAGTTAAGGAAATACATACAGAGAATTAATTTAATGCGATGTGAAGCACAGAATTTATGTAGGCGGTCGCATACGCATTTGGTTTCCATGCTTTGTGTGTGTTTTGCTTTGACAAAATTTGAACTTTACAACGCGACGTTCTAAAGGACAGCATATCGCTGGAAATTTATTCGAACTATCTCAGGGAGATCTATATCTCGAGATGATACAAACCTTTTTTAAACTTTCAAGATAAATTTCCGATTATCTTCGGTAAGTTTCGCAAAATGATGATTTTGACGATTTGGTCTCCATCTTTTACTTGAGATAATTAAAATTAGTGAACTAGCCTATAATCAGCTGTGGTGAACAGGAGCCATAATGAAAATCTTCGACAAGACAGGATCAACTCTAGGTGAAATCATATATCGTTCTTATGTTAATTGCAACCCTATTACCGAAATTTGAGGTCGCTTCGTAACACATTTATGTAGTCCTTTGCAAGTTTTTTTTTTACATACTACACAAGCTTATTGCAGTCGAAGCAACAAAATGGCTATGTGTCTCATCAAACAAGGATGTATCAAATGAAACTTAACATAACGCATTGTTATAAATTTCATTCTCGATTTACAAAGACGTGACACGTGAAACATTGCTCTATATTTAGTGAGATCTACGGTTCAGCTGTTGCTAGGACTACAGTAAGCTTTTTGCTTCTACTATTCATAGCGTAATAATAGTATATAGCTTAGATAATCAAAAAATTAATGAATTAATTTTATTAAATATTAAACTTCTCACGAGAGAACTACTCGAGTTGATACCCACCGTTTAATCTCATATTGGATTCACAAGGAGGTCTCAGTAAGACTAGAAAAATCCTGATAGGGTTCGTTCCTATAGGTCTCTCGAACAGAGTTATAATTGTTTTCCAGAATTTTCGATCCAGCTTGAAGTACTGAAGTATTTACAGAAAAATCAAATAATGGAATTTCGATCTGAATTATTGCCCATGGACAGATCGGATGATTCTGAGAATATTCTAAAAGTTTCAGCCGAGAAAAATGTTCCCTCGTCGAAATATTGAATTTTCAAGTAAACTCGATATTTGTGGCATGTCTGTGACAAGCGACAATTTGAAAGAACGCTCTTTTCGGCTGAAACTTTGAGTATATTTTCAGAGTCATGAGATCTATCTATGGACAAAATTTCAGGTTGAAATTTCATTATTTGATTTTTCGATAACTACATAAATCTGAATCAAAAATTCAATGAAACGATCATAACTCACCTCCAGAGGCTCATAAGCAAGAGCTCTTTTAGGACTTTTCTAGTATTGTCGAGATCTTCTTGTGAACCTGAAATGAGCTCAGACGGTGGGTGTCTGTTCGGATAGTATTCTCGTGAGTGATAATATAATGAATTGTATAATACGAGTTTCAAAGTTGCCTCAATTTCAAAATTAGCTTCGAGATCTTGGTCGATAGATACTTCGTATACAATTTACAAACAAGGTTGTAGTTTCCGTTGACTATCGATCTGTACTTTTGATTTCAATTGTGACATATGAACGCTTCCGATAATCTTTCTATCGGTCACAATTTTCGTGTCCGGGACAAAACGCATCTTCTCACATTCTTGCAACTAATTAATATCTTCTGTATCATTAGCTGTTTTTTTTTTTATAGAATTAAGCATGTTTGATGTTCCGCTGAATATTTACTCGAAGTATTATATTCTAATGATACCATCAAAATATGTAATTCTTGCTCGTTTAACTTCGATACGACAAATATATGAATATATGATAGCATTGAAGCATTCATTTTATAGTCCTCGTGCTTATTCTTCGTTTTACTTTGAAAAGTAATCATTAAAATGATGAGGTCTGATTAAATTTCACAAAAAGTTAGATAGAAGAATAGAGTTTTTTTTTTGCGCATCTGTTAATTTGATGTGTTGTTTTTTGTAGCAATAATGAATGAAAAATAAAGCTGCAATTCTATTGATACTATAACTACTATAATAAGCATATATGAATAGCATTTCGATTTTGAATTTTTTTTTTTTATTGCTTTATTTTTGTTCTAACTCGTTCGTTGTGTCTGTTTGCAAAAGTTGATCGATTTGTAAGACACGTTTAAGAATTTTTAAAATTATAGTATACTCTTCATTAATAACTGATGCATCATTAAGACATAAAATTTGATCATTTCCTTGTGAAGTGGAGAAAACAGAAACTGATTCAGGTTGATAATCTAAAATTAAACATTAAAATAGCAAAAATGTACTAGTGAAGTTTTGATACTTGATGATTGATCATTGTTGATTTGTGACATATCTTCAGGTGATTGAAATTTTACTCGTGTTGTATTAGTTATTGTGAATTCTGATTCTTTTGGATTTGTTTCTAAATTTTCAAAATTGATATTTTCATATGATTTTTGAAATGGTTGATCAATCTTATCATATTCGATTTGATTAGAATCATTTGAAGTAATTTTAGGAAAAATAGGTGACCAACTTGTTAATGCTAATGCTAAATCTTGATATTGAAATGAATCAAGATTAGTTTTAATTGAAGATTGATCTAAAGAAAAAAAAGAAATATATAATTGAATTCAAAAAAACTTCTAAGGATTCTTAACCTTCAATTGTTGGAAGATGAATTTGTTGTTGTTGTTCATTATTAAAGCGATTTCGATACTCTGGGTCGAATTCATAAGTAACTTCATAACATTCAGAATATGTATCACCATTTGGATGAACAACATATAATCTTTCTTCGATATTGTTATCATTATCATGTATTTGTTCATTATCTTTATGAACTAATGATTGTACATCATCTGTTGTTGAATAAATTTTTTCTTTAGATATAAATGTATTAGATGGAAGAATATTTGTTGATAATTCAATAGGTGATGAAATATCATCTGTATTATCATCTGTCATTATTGTTTGAAGATCTGATGGATATCGTGAAATAGTACAATAACGATGTGTTGATGATGAATCAGGAGAATCGAACACTAATATTGGAATATTAGGAATAAGTTTTTCAATTGTTTTAGATTGTTGTTCAACTAAAGAATTGAGAAATGATAAGCTTTGAGAGCAAAGTTAAAAGTATTTACTTTCATCGTTAAGTTTAATAGTTGTTGTTTGTTTTGATTCATTTTGTTGTTCTGTTTCATTATCTTGTAAAGTAGTCTTTGTCAATAAATTTTCAATTGTATTATGTTTATTTTCAGTTTCAGTATCAATAGATTTTGTTGATGGTTGCTTTTTTTTTATTTTGAAATGTTTTCGTTTAATCAAGAAAATTTTTGGTGTTATAAATTTTGATGCTGAATTTTGATTTTTAGTAGATTTTTTTGATAATATTGGTACTTGAAAGTTTTCTTTTATTACTTCAACATCAGGAAGAACTGGTAAAATTGTTATTTCATTAATATTTGATGATTGCTTTGTTTTACAACTTGTTGTAAATGCTCGACTCAAATTACGTAAACCAATAGCTAAACGTTTTGTATTTATTAATGATGAATTTATTCCTGATTGTTGATTTTGATTTGAATTATCGAAATCAATTGTTTCATTTTGATTTGATGAAGGAGGATGATTACGCGAATCATTAATAATAGGACATATTGGAGCACGTCGTTTAGTATGTACTTCTTGTTGACTTTCTATTTCATTTAATTGATCATCACTAGTCGGAATATTTGAAATATTAATTGATGGTAATGATAAATAATGAAAATTAGGTACACGAACAATTAAATCAGATGTATTTTCTTTATCATGATGTTGTTCAATACGAATTATTGATCCATGATAAATAGGTATTGATGAAGGTTTAGAATTTTTTGAAAATGCAAATGAAGTTTGATCAAGATTTTCAACTGAATGTGATAGTGATGAAAATGATTCTTTAATTTCAGGAAATGTAAGCTAGAATATAGGAGATTAAATTTTCTTTTTCTTTTATTTTAATATTAAAATAAAACTTACAATCATAGATATAGCACGATTTTGAAGGAGCATCGTCATTGTTACTGAGCTTATCAATTGAGAAAAGCAACGGTAACAAAAGCTCCCGCCTTCAATAACAATACACCGACACAATGATTGTGATTCTATGTTCGACTTAAGAACAATTAGTCTTCCTACTCTATTTTGTTATCAATTCTTGGCATATGTTACCTTCTGACAAAAACAAAAATAAAAGATCGATCAAGAACAAAAATACTCAAATTACATCAGGTACAGAAAAAAATCAAAAGAAATATAAAAAAAAAAAAGACCTTAATAAGCTTGATATGGCAAGTAGAAGGTGAAAAACTGAAAGAAACCAAACTCTTTTTTTTAGATTGGGACCGAAACTAGAACAACTGATCTTGTTTATGTCTAATTAAGTGTCCAACAAGGAGAATATTAACCATTATATAGGTTGCAATATATAGCAGCAAGACATTTTAAACTTATAGACAGTCAAAGAGAAGAATTATAAGGTTTAAATTTTGCTAAGATAGGCATCCGAAAATAAATCTTTTTTTGGGCTAAACCAACAAAGATAGTCTTATTTATATTTAATTCGTTCTTTGTTTTATTCAAAACATTTGCTAAAAATATGAATATTTAAGAAGAGACTATTCTTCCTAATAAATAGAATTTATTTCTCTGTTTTATTGGACATATTGTTTAATATTATTTTGTGAAACACAACCTAAAAGAAGTGTTGAAGTATGGAGCTAGAAATTAGGACGTCTCCCTCTGAGATACAACTCCACGTGACACGTGATAAAATGATGATGATGAACCCATGGAGATGATGATAATTAGCAGGAGAAGAGAGAAAGAGAAATAACTAATGAGAAAACGATTAAAATGAAATAAACGCAAGAAATATTATAGAAAAATCGACAACATCTGACCTCAGTTCAGACAGCGGAGTATTTCGAATTTCGGTTTTGGGTTTTCGATACTTTATAGACAACAAAAACGTTTAGTATCTATCGAATTGCTGACAGTTTACTAGTATGATTGAAATTTGTTGTTGAATTTACATCTAATCTTGGTATGATTATTATCGAAAAAAAAAATTCCTTAATTCAAATTGTTCACATTGGAAAATCGTTGAGAAACTATGTCATGTTTCACTAAAGCGTTTTGTTAAAATACGATAAATATCAATATTTAGTGTTTTTTGTACATAAGTTTTGTCTATTGTGTATTCATGCAAATGAATAAGATTGTATTTGTTTATATTAATATCAAATATTCATTGTCATCTATAGATTGCAAAGTTTCGTTCTGTTTTGTTTGTACAAATTTTTGATAAAGAAAGAACGCTGATATTTTTCACACTTTTCAAAATATTTATAATAGTCGGGTTTTACTTTGAGTGAACAAAACATCATATTGAAAAGTGGATAAAATTTGTACTATATAGAGATTTCAACATCTCAAATGATATTTCAATGAACATCAGATAACGGACCGTTCTCGAGATGATTGCATCACAAACCATGAATTTTGCATGCGGAATTCGAGAAAGAATTCGCACTGCATTAAAAACTATAAGGTACTTCGCATCTTAGTAAATGTACGCACAATAAGAAGATAGAGAGAACATAGATGACGACTAGTACCGTCACATTCCCGCCTCAGACTTGATGAATACTTTAGCAATGCCTTTCCTCTGTCATAGACCATGACAGAAGTATACGTGAAATTAAAACCTACTGTGGAATTATTATGAACGATGGTTGAAATTACGATAAGCTGCACTTCTTTCACATTAAGTATAATATCTAATGATGATCATCTTTCATCATCAAAATCCATGAGTAGTACGTAGTAATTCACAAGTCAATATTTATGTAGTAGGCAAAATTAGAATTCAGGCCAGATTAGAATTTTTATATTGATTAGATCCTCATCAGTCAGAGCTAAAATTCCAGTTTGGCTTAAACAAAATTGGAATTCGCCAAAAGATTAATTCAGAGAATCAAAACAATTAAAATCTGAATGGAATAACTATTTTGTTTTATTCAATAATATCTTTTCATTCCACTGAACAATTTAATCTATTCATCTATATTTGTACAATCATCTCGTTTTGAATGACATTTTCTCGAACAAAAAAGCTTCCTTCTTTTTTTTTTACACGAATATTGTTTCGTAGCGCACTTGCCTTTACAATTGGAAGTGCGAACGTTTGCTGAATTCGATTCAGACATTTTTTTAATTGGGTTCGAATGCATACATTTAACAGATGGTCCATAATGAATGACTATGTTTTGTATTTTATTTTTACACATCAAATACATCTTATTAAAAAACAATATTTTACAAGATACAGCATGAAATGCTCTACAATTAGCAATACAAAGCTCATTATATATATATATATATATATCTGTAATTTTCAAAAGAGATAAAATTCTGTGTGACTAATATTCGATTCTGCAAACGAGATTGTTTGCTAGTACACGTCGACTTCTTTTTCTTATTTCTTTGATTAAAGAATCATATCAGACACCTTAATCATTGACCGATTTTAGACCAATTGATATGTCTTTGAATTGAATTTTTCCTTTTGATGAAGTTGTTCTTTCATATTCACAAGCTGAAGGTCAACACCTACTAGTTGATGATTTCGTCTATCAACAAGGCAATGCCGCACTACATACCCGTCAAAAATGATTAGTATGGTGCGAAGAGAATTCCGTAAGCAATTACAGATAATCACCAAACAGTTTCAATCTCAGTCTCCTGGATTATTATGTGTAAGACGCTCTCACCAATGATATACAATGGAACAAAGTTAAGAACTCTGATTTATTAATTGATTAAATAAGAAAAGGTCTCCGTCATGTATCAGAAAAACAAGCTTGTTCGCAGCATCGAAAATTTGTCACACAGAATGGAGGTGTGGGTGTAGTTGTGAGTGGATGTGGCTGTGAGTGTGGGTATGTGGGTATTGTCTTCACTGATATCCACACCCAACCACACTCATACCTACCCACACCCAACAAAATAATTATGAGCAGGACCCGTTCCAAGTACAGAAATGTGCGGCAACTTCACTCCTGATCACGCGTTGTGTTTTAATACTTGTCTGCACACTATCAACGGGTGCGGGTGTGGGTGTGGGATGCAGGTGAAGAAAACATATAACCTACATCCACACCCACACACCGACACCCACACCTTCACCCACGGAAAAAATTTTTAATAAGTACCGCGATTATTCTCGGTTTAAAAGTTGCAGCCCTTGCCGATTAGTATACACCGTGGGAGTGAAACCTTTTATTAGATTTATATACACGCCATTAGTACAGAAAATTAACCTTTTGGTGATTGTTTTTGATTTTTTGGAGAATTTTGTACTTCGAAATATTGGAAAAGAATTATCTTCTGCTAGACATAAAGTCATCTGGTGAGATCGGAACGTATCGTAGTAGCTGTTGAAATTTTACGCAAAAATTGAATTTTTGTTGTATATTGATGTATATCCATCTACGAGATTCGACTGAATCTCTCAGCACCGGAGTCTGACAAAAATAGACGTCATTTGATTACTCATTGTTGACGATTAAGTAATTGATCAACACCTATTATTCATAAATTCAATAATATTTGTTGTTTGTGTTCTCGACACTATCAATGGTTAAGAAAAGCTGTTTTGAGCAAAACTTAATTAAGTCGTGTTGAAATGAAATAACCCATCTTTACTCTCATCTTATTCGAAGTATGCTGAACAACAAAAAAAAACATTCTTTGATGACTGGCTTTCGTTTTATACCACGCGATATATCAAATTTGATCAATGAAAAGGTGAATTTGCAGTGATTAATTCAACTCTCGCATTTCAGTATTGACGTCATTTCAGTTCTTTTTCATACACACAGAAATAATTGCATAATCGTGAGAAATCTATCATACAGAACAAACATCAACACAGTCAAATGAAAAGAAAAATTATAAACATATACACACCATATAACGAACGCACATGATAACAAGTTTCATCGATGGCTGACAAAACTATTCCATCTCTTCTTACACTGCCAGTGGAACTTATCCATCGAATTTTGGATTACCTTAGTAATTACTCTATTTTATGTTCAATGCGAAATGTCTGTGCACATATCAATGCAAGCATAGACAATTACGATCGATATCGGGTAAATTTCTTCTGATTTTCATCATTCTCAAAACATAAACATCTACGAATTAAGCAAAGTAAGAGAAGAATAAGAACTACTCAAATTTGACATTTATAAACGTTAAAATTATTATCACCACTATAGTAATGTTTCAAATCATTGCATAAGCTCGTATACTTCATCAGCGCGACGTTGTCGCAAGCGAGTAAATAGATCATCATCCTTGATGTTCGGGAAATCTTGTATTTCTGTCATTCGCTCACAAAAATATCCTGCCTATGACGCACTTTCTAACCTATTTTCTAATTTAATCGTCTTCATATTACTCAAGAAATGTTTTGCGACATCTTGTATTTATTAAAATAATTAATATAGCCGACGACATCTTCGAATATTTCTTATTTTTCAAAAACATACGTAAAAACAAGTGTTTTTAAACGACAATAGTTTATAGTACGTAGACCTTTAACTAGAAAATTCATAAGCGAAGTTTTTAATTGACCTAACTTATTATTCACTATAGACACTCACCATACTGAATCTTCGATATGACAAAATCAGTCCAGAAAAAGTACAACATCTTGCTAATGCTTTACAACAATGCCAAGTAATATCTTTATTCTTTTTCTATTATTTTCTATACTTCACACAGACAATCACTACATTGTACTTCCATAACAACCAAATTGGTCCACAAGGAGCACAATATCTTGCTGATGCTCTACGACAAAATCAGGTAACATCTCTCTGTTCTAGAGTTCGTCGAATTAAACCATTTTTTTTTACCACAAACTTCATTTATCTTCTTCTAATTCTATCACTTATATATTATTTTACATAGACGATTACTATAGTAAACCTTCATGCCAATCGAATCGGTTCACAAGGAGTACAATATCTTGGCAGTGCTCTGCAGCAAAATAAAGTGTCGTTGTTCTCCATTCTTTTTGTTTTATACTATCATTGATTATTTTACATAGACACTTACTACACTTGATCTCTGGGACAATCAAATTGGTGATCAAGGAGTACAATATCTTGTCAATGGTATACACGAAAACAAAGTATATACACTTATTCCATCTTCACATTCTATCATTCACTATTTTATATAGACACTCACTACACTTGATATTGGTAACAATGCAATCTCTGATCAAGGAGCACGATACCTTTTCAACCTTCTACTAAACAATAGAGTAACGTTCCTATTCTTTTATTCTACTACTCACTGGCTATTTCATGTAGACACTGATCAGATTATATGTTAGTCATAATAAGATCACTGATAAAGGAGCACAATATCTTATTATTGCTTTAGAACACAATAAAGTAAAATATCTCTCTTTCTTTTTTTCTTATTTTGTGTCATTGCCTAACGTTTCATATAGACACTCGTCACATTAAACCTTCGATTCAATGAAATCAATGATATGGAAAAGAAGGCGTTTTTCGCAATACATAGTGCGGATTTAGGAATGGAACTGATTTTGTAATAATGATAGAGACAAACGATTGTTTATAATAACAGTCTCAATGTTTTGTTGTGAAAGTGATGATCATTAGATATTTCTGAAATATATTTTATTCGTGAATACTATTGAAAAATATTTTGTTTTGTTCAGTGTGATCAATATATTGAAAGAAATGTTTCACTGAATTGGTTTGGCATCAGCCCGTATCCATTCATCCAGCCTCTATGAAAAATAATGGAAATAGGTACGTGAAATAAGTTGCACTATCATCTGCATGATATATTTAGTTGTATAAAGAATGATTATGTCAGATTTATTTTCATCCTTAGCTGATACATTGCTTTAAATACTTGTTCTTGTCTTCACTATCACTTGGGAACCTGTTTTTAGCCTAATCTGTTTGCTTTATGATAGAATATAGCGCGAAATGTTATTGAAACATTTTGATAAATTCTATAAAATCCTGGAAGTTGTTCTGGTTATGAAATGAAAGATACATTTGTTGTGCAACGATTTGAATAAAAGATTATTACGCAGTAAGACTAAATAACGGTCCAATGTTCGTATCGTATAATAAACTCAATTTCTGGTTTTTTCATGGGATGTTTTCTAATCATTGGATCAAAGAAAAATAATAGAAGAAGAATACTTATCCTACGATTATTGAACAGTATAGAACCATGATTTTTTTCGGTTCTGATCTTAATAGTTTGTTGAGGATGTGTGTCATCTAAAAACCAATATTTGCCTGAAAATATCACATATGAACACTTTGAAATTTATTTCACCAGATGTATCTTTTCACACTATTCGAATGATTATACTTCCAAACTTTTTGCATAATAATATTGGTGGAAAACATATCAATTTATAGAAGAATCGCTAATTTTTTCTCACATAAACAACATACAAAGTGTAAGATTTTGGTACATGTTTGGTATAAGTTTTTAGAATTTTTACACAAAAACCAGTATAAAATTCTTAAAAATAACATTTGGTGGAATTCACGTATATTTTTCAAAGGAAAATAGTGAGTGTAAGTTTTAAGTCGAGATTTTCCGGCTCCCTCTCCATCGTTCTCCCTTACAGACAGGTAGTATGAGAATAAAAACAAAAAAATGTCGAAGTCCCTCGATCAAATAATGTCAAGAATGAAGAGTTGCTGTAAAGATATGAACAGATCAATTTAGCTTTTGAAATTTAATAAAGATTACTTTTTTGGTTAAATCAATTATCAGGAAAAAAAATAAAATGAATAACGAGCGAATAGTAATAAGCAAATAAAAAATAGAGAGTCAGTAGAAATAATTAAAGAGAAAATTTCTTGTCGAAATTCAAATATAAATAAGAGAGATCATTGCTATGACGATCGATTGCTCTAGAAGCAACTATTACCTATTAGATGTTATTCACTTTACATATTTTATATTAGCATAATTAAGTTGTGAGTTCCACATTTTAGCCTCAAAGGAGCTACGTTGACAAACTTTTTCTATAATGTTACCAGTTCATTGTAATTAAAAACACCATAAAGCCTAAAACAATTACCATCATCGAACGTTGAAACATAATCCCTTCTATTTATTCTAAAAACAGTTTACTGGCAAACATTTTACCCAAACATCGTCATTTCTAATGAATACGTACAAAGAATAAATGCCTGCACAACTTTGAACTAGAAACTTACGACCACGCTGCATCCTTTACAAAAAAATTATCCACTCCATCTATAATACTAGCACGAATCAGAATCCTTTCTATCCATAAAACCTCAAACCTTTTCTTCTTCGAATACTATGCATACCTACGACATTTCTCATTCACTATTTTGTATTTCTACATACGAAAATCCGCTTCCATCAGAAATCCCATCCTGAGTGACAAAATACTCTGATTATACAAAGCGAAGAAATGGATAAAGTATTTCTCCTTAACTAATTTCCGTTTCTACTTTAAAAAATCCATTTCTCTCAGAAAATGTTGTTAGAGGAAAAAGTCTTGCGATCGATTTCTCGCTAAGTCTTTTTGACTTGTGCATAAAAGATGGAAAATGGATAAAGATTTTCTCTTTGGTATGATCCATGTTTCCTCTCGCATGATTTTACCTATATTACGGCTGAGATTGTTTTTAAAAAGCGTTTACTCTTGACTTTGTGAGGGCAAAGTATTTCTGCTAGAAGCGGAACAATTTTCCGATTTTTTTCGATGTGGTCCAATCCTAGACATATTATTCTATTTACATATAGCAAGAGATATGAAACACAAATAGCAGTAAAAATATACATCAATGTTCAGAGTCACAAAAATAGATACGAGCTTTTTTTCCGCGTCGAAAAAAGCAATATCTTGTCTTAGAGCCAATGTAACCAAAATCATAAATACCATCAATAAAACGACGAACAGGACCACGCTGACGACAAAAAGTATTGAAATCATGAAGATCATTATAAAAATTCTTACGAGCAAAAGCAATCAATGCATCTATAGCACGAGTAAAAACATCCATAACTTTAGCAAAACTATCATGAAGACTACCAGTAGAAAAAACATCATGAAGACCATGAAGTGTACCACGACCATTAGTACCATGAACACTATGAGAACAACGACAACGAGGGCAGGTTGGCATCTTTTTCAATGATGGTTGCGTATCGATCAATATCGTTGTAGTCGATGAAATTAAATGAAATTTTCAAAAGTTGTTTATAATAACAGAAACAATCACAGATATATATGTACAGTGACACGAAGGAATATTCCAAGAACACAAAGGAATAATCCATAAAACAAAAAGGAATAATCCATAGAACAAACAGGAGCATACAGCACAAAAGAAAAGGAAGAAATAAAAAAAATAAAAAAAGTGAATGTCATTATATTACACTTCTTTAGTCATGTATGTTATAAAAGTCGAAGCTGATGCCAATTTTTCTTTTTTTCAATAAATAAGACATCTCTGTTAATTTATGTATACTATTTTGTTGGAAAAAATATCCATTAAATAATAATATTTGTAATTGTTTACATTTCTGACGTGTTTGTTCTAAAAGAATGAAACGAAATAATTTTTTCTTCTGACACAGCTGGTAAAATCTTTGAGTCACAGGAAAAAAATTATTTAGCAGCAAGAATGTAAACATAGACGCTCGACAAACGGTATGGGTTAGTCATTCTCAAACTTCGATGTTGAGAGCTGTTTAATTTTTTTTTGCATTAGTCATTTCGATGAAAAACAACACAAGTATCTTTTGCACAGCAGAACACTTGAAGAAATATAAACAGTGGGTCTTAACAACAATCAACATTCAAGCATGTTGCCCATATTGGAAAAAGAACAAAAATTTGAATGTCATTGACATACATCCTATTTCACCGCGTTGAACATTACAAAATCAATTCCATAGAATACTGGAAACTCGATCGACATTTAACACGCAAACTCGAACGACGACGATCTAGTTTCAACAATGCCCGGAATTTCTGGAATTAGGTTAAGACAGAATTAACGAAAGTTCCATGAAATTCCATCTTGATTCAACTTTCGAAATTCCGTGATGGAATTGTTTTCACCCTTCATTCTCATGCTGTGATGTGATTACAAGTTAGTGTTTAGAATTTGTAAGTAATTCTGAGAGCTAGGTTAGGTCGGAATTACTAGGAATTCCATGTAATTTCTACTAATTGCGGATTGACCCAATGTCAGGAACTCTGAGAACTTGCTGGAAAGACAAGGATGTGGATGTGGGTTCGGGTATGGAGGGTGTGGGTGGGTGTGGGTGGGTGTGGGTGGGTGTTAATGTGGGGTGTGGCTGCCATACCTCTCTTTACTCACACCCACACCCAATAAGCATATCTATTGAACTATCTTATTTGAATAACATAAATAATTTATTACTCCAGTAGATCATTAATAATCTGAAATGTATTCTTGATCAGCCAAAAAAATCTCAGTAAAACATCATCAAATGCTATGTTAAATCCACAGAATCTTTATATATAAAGTTTTTTTTTAAATACAATCATTTGTAGACTAGTACAGCATATTTGCATATTCTATAATGATCAATGTTAATGTGATTCAGTGTTGAATTTACAACATCGAAAAGTTCCAAGTCGAATCTTGTAAATCGAAAATTCTGAATTTTCTAAAAATGACTTGAGAAAAAGATCGAACGACAGCTATTGGACGATTCAATACGTACATCGCCTTTCTTTATTTAAATATCAGGTGCGTAACCTTCACATAACTTAAAAATATCGAAGCATGGGGCGCAATGTCTTCATTCATATAAACTTAACATCAAAAAGTCACAGAAAACATTGGTTTTTTTCGATTTTGTTGACTAAAAAAACACAAAATTTTCAAAATCATGGGGGGCAAAACACTCCAGCCCTCTCCCCTGGTAGTTACGCCCCTGTTAAATATACTTTGTTCCTTTAATCTGTTTATGCAAAACTAATTATTAATATAGTGTTTTTCCTTTCTATATCTCTCTTATATTCATATTCAAATCTTCAAATTGATCTTTCACCAGATAAGTGAATAACAAGAAAGTTGGCATTTGCACGCGTAAAAAAGAAGTTTTTTCGAATAAAAAAAACAGTTAAGAATTGACTTTTATCAACTCGGCTTAATGTGTTAAAATGTTCGATTTATAGGCGTGGAAACGTCATAGATTTTATTACTTTTCTGAATGAATTATGATTGAATCTAATTCAGTTTAACATGTGACAATTCTCAGATCAAAAAATGCTTTCTTATACGCTCAGCGTCAGCAGTAAAACCATAAAAGGTGTTAACAATATTTGTTTTTGCATCCTGTTACCCAAAGGGAATCCAGGAATTTTATGAATGGAAGCGATTCAATGGAGGGAGGAATGATTTTGTTCAGAAGATGCGTTTTCAACTTCGTTCAAGGCACCACGGGCTCATTTTTGGGCCTTTTCTACTGGAAAAAATTTAAAAAAAAAACTTTGCGAATCGAACGATTGCCCTAGCGTCCCCTAAATCTATCACTGCAGTTATCATGAATTATATTATTCACAATCAGTTATCAATAATGGCTGGATCGTAATATAAAATGTTTTATTCGATATATCTTTTTCTCTTATTCGTTCTATTATTTTTTTCCCCATTTATGTAATATGACCGCTTGGTCTTTTCTTTTTCGATGGACACAGGTTAAAGAAAAAAAAATGTGATTTTTTTCCACCGTGTGAATGAAATAGTTTACATTAATTTTAAGCAGAAAAAGTACATTTCAATTATTTCTTTATATATAACATAGTTGAAATAAAGAGAATTTGTCTGTTCTAAATAAATAAACAATGAATCTTGATATACATGTGATGATAGTTACTACATTGAGTTTGGTAATAACATTTATCTTCTACTATCGTTTAGAAGGAACAAGATTAAACAATAGTTTATTTCAGAATATATTTATTGATACAGTACGTGATTATCTTTTGTTCATTCGTTGTCTATTAGAGAACTAGCAAAGTATGTCTTCTTTTAGAAAAATCTATATCAATCATATTCACATTCATTATGGCTCACTTGTTATGTTTATACTACTTGTCGACATGATTCCCAAGACCACAATCTTTTATCTTTGTTTTTCGTTTCACTTAACTTTCAGTAAAGCAATGATTGTATGAATTTATCTCTAGCTAAATTCTAATTTTGTCTACAATATCGAAAGCTACATCGTGTTTCACATTTGAATTCCATCGGTATTGTGCAAACAACTATTTTTTATCATATATTAGTTAGTATATGTAGGTTTTCTAATTCTCGTCACCTTTACATTATACAGCAATTAGAAAATATAAAGAAGCACAAAAAGAAAAGGAGACGAATACAATACTAAAAAAAAAAACACACAACGAGCAATATTTATCAACTCTTTTTAACACATTATAGCAATTAGAGAAAGAAAACTAAAAATTTTTTTTTCTCAATAATGTACGGATTCATTAATAACCGACAATTGTAAATTATTATTATTTAAACCTTCTCTTATAAGTAGAAGAACGTCACTAAATTCAAGCTTCTCAACATTAATACCATTAATATAAATAATACGATCACCTTTACGTAAACCAAGTTGATAAGCTGGAGATCCAGGTTCAATATCACGAATACGAGGATTTAAACCTGTTGTTTTATCACCAGATATTAAAATTCCAAGACCATCATAAGAATCCGAACATTTTAATATATAAGGTCGAAGTAATGCTTCGGAATTTTGAATAGGAATTATTGCATTAATAGACTCTAAAAATAATATAAAACTACGTTTATTTTTTTTTCTTATTCAAGACACATATTGTAATAAAATGAAGAAATAGTTTCAAGTTGTCAACTATGTATAGAAACAGTTTTTACGATTTCATTTCTTTTTTGTTTAACTTACCTTTACTTATCATTAACTGAAGCATACAATCATTGATTGTAATATTATTCAAAACATTTGTGAATACTCCTTTTTTTTTTTCTTTGTGTAAATAAAAATCATTCAGGTAAAACGAATTAAGCTTTTATGATTTGAATACATAAAATTTTACTATTTGAATAGTCTGGCTTTTTTCTCAGAATGATATACGTATTAAAATATAGATAAATATATGACGCAAAAATCTCTGAATGTTTTTTCGAAAAAAAAGTACCATAAATTGTTTGTTGAAAAAGTTATTTTTAATATTATTAGTTTACTATATTTTTACCCTGTCTATGTTCAGTAGTTTGATATGAATACGGTGATTGATCATAGGTTTTTTCTCGTTCAGCTACAATTGATGGTTGTGTAAAAATTGAATTTCTATCATTATTGAAATTATCTATTAAAAGAAAAAGTTATTATTCAGTTGTTTTTTTATTATATCTTAAAATATTTTTTTTATCTTCTTACGAGAATATCGATCATTTGAATATTGCCGTTCATCATATGGATATTGTTGTTCATATTCATATGAAACTATATAGTTTTCTTCTTGCATATCATTACGATTTGTTTCTTGTTCACGAATTTTTGAATTATATTGATATTCATTTGTAATCTTCGGTAGAACAGTATCATGATTATTATGTGTACAGTCAATTTGAATAGATTTTGATGGTTTTTGATTTATATCAATATCATTATTATCTTGAATACTCCATGTTCGAACTTCACCACCATCAACATAATTATGTCTATCTTTTGTATAAACTGTTGTTGAACTACGATAAATTACTGGAATTTCAGAAGAATCATAATATGATGTTCGAGATGGTGTTAAAGGTGTTCTACTACGTGGATCATCAATATCAACACGAATGGTATTAGTATCTGTTTGTAAAGAGGGTTTTTGAGGAGTTAAAGGTCGAATATAACCATCATGACGATGAGCAGAAGAAGGTGATGATGGTAAACCACTGTTTAATGTATTAGACCATTGTTGTCGTTGATCATATTCATCGAACGTTGTAGTTGATACATCAAAACGTTG